AGAGTCATGCTGGAAGAGAGCAACTCCTTTCAATCCAACTTTACCAGGACTGAAGTTAACTTCTAGGGAACTTAAGCAAAAGGACAAACTCCAAAGCACTCCCACTAGCTCATCTTCAACAGGTGTCTGAACTCCCATTCATCTGGCTTCTTCAAACCCACAACATTTATATCTGCATCCCACATCTCAGCTCATGACCACATATGATTCTGTATACATACAGATCTTAAATTGATTCCTTGCTTAAATATTACAACAAGTGTATCACATCCTATTTTCACCAACTGTTTGAATTTTTCAAAATTTACTTCCAGTTCCAACATACCTAGTCTTTTATATAGCTGAAATAATTCCACTTGTTAAATATTTATATTAATATTTATAAATATTTATCAAGATCCTACTATGTGCCAGCTGCTACACAAGGTACTGAACATATCGGTGAGCCTAATAGCTATAGTCCTTGCCCTCAAAGAACCTATGGACTAGTTAAGTGTGGTCATTCCACTAGAGTGGGAATGGAAGCCTGGACATTCCATCAGAGTAGAACTGAAGGGCCACATGGTACCAGGAGATCATCAAGAGATGACAGGATCCTGGGCAAGGGGGGTGCAGTGGAAATGGAAAGAACTGGACAGATTCTGGGAACTTTTAAGAGGGAGCATGGGAAAGACTAGACTAGTAGGGATGTGGATCAGGAAGATCAAATGGATGAATGGAGGTACCAGGGGGACCATATACTGGGTTGGGACAGATTTGTTCTTTGAGTGGAAGATTGAGATTTCAATTTTAGAGGCCTTCAATTCAAGATCCTCAAGAGGATGTGTCAAGTTGGATATGAATGAGCTGGGCCTCCAAGGAGCCATCTGGGTTGGAGGCAAAGGAGATATGAACATAGATGATATATGAGGCCATAGAGTGGATAAGATTGTCTATAGAGAGGAAGAGCCAGAACTGGACTTTGCCCAGGTCCCTGATTTAGAGTCAAGGAGAGAAGGAGCCAGAAACGGAGGCTGAGGCTATTTCTTGAAATAAGCTGGAAAAAGAGGGAGTGAGGACACAATGGGTCAGATGGGATGCAGAGATGGTTGGAGCGTCAGCTGGCTTCATCCATGAAGCCAAGGAACTCCTTGCTCCTAAATTCTACCAGGTTGATAAACAAAGCACCTTCTTTTATTCACTATTCTCCTTATTGTGAACAATAAGATTGGCTATCTCCAAGTTTCTAATTCTATAAATGTTATTGAAATAGCATTTTCATGCTTAGTATTTTTCTTCTTTCAAGTTAATTCTTCAGGATTCCACACCTGGAATTAGTGCTTCAAACAGAATGAATATATTTATGACTTTTGAAGCACACTGCTGCCAAATTGCTTTCCAAAAAGGTTGTGCTAATTGGCATCACCAACAGTGGGTGTTAGCATAACTTATTATTGCTTTAATTTGTATTTATTTTATAACTAGTGAGGTTGAACATATTTCCATATTTGTATCTACTTCTCTGAATCTCTCCTCTTGTGACAATATACGTTTTCACCCACTTACTTTTTGGTGCATTGATGTTTTTCTTAATTTTTCCTAGCTTTATTATCTTGCAATTAATATTTTTTTGGTGGCAAATATTTTCCTGAAGTGTGTGCTTCAGTTAACTCAGTTTTCTTTATATAGATTTTGTTAAAAAGGAATCAAGTTTATGAGTATTTTTCTTTCGTTATTAAGTACTAGATTGCTTCAGAGCTAAGAAAATTATCATACTTTCAAATTATCTGATGTTCAGTTCCTTTTTTGTTAGTTCTTCTATGAGTTATCTTTTTATAAATTCCTTAATCAGCCTACAATTTATTTTTTATATTTAATGTAGAATATGAATTAAATTATGCTTCCAGAGTAAAAGCAATTATTTTGACACTTTCTATAAAGTAATTCTCTTTTCCTATATTTTTATTGGTGCATTACAGTTGTATATAGTGGTGGAATGTGTTGTTACATACTCATACATGCACACAATATGACAATATAATCTGGCCAATATCATTTCCCAGGATTTCCCTTTTCCTCCCCACTGGTCCCTTTCCTCTACTTCTATAAAATAATTATTTTGCCTTCTCTTGTTTTACAATATCTGATCTTTAAAATTCTTACATTTATTTATGAGCTACATTCTATACCACTATTTTTAAATCAGAACATGGATTGTTCTGACTTTAAATAATATACTACATATAATATATCATGCAATATATATGCACAACATATAGGTTTACAATCTCATAGGGAATGGTCTCAACTAAATAAGCTTCTTTTTCCAAAATGTATTTCCAAAATGAATATCTTTATTATATTCTTGATCAGTTCATATTATTCCAGATGAATATTATGTTAATTTTAAGAAAATGCCACTCATATTTCACTAGGATTCTGAAATATTGAAAATAATATCAGAAAAAAATGACATTTTATGATATTGCTCCACTAGAAAAGAGAATGTTTATGAATATATTCAAGACATTTTTCATATGTTCCAAAAAAATGTTTTACTTTTGATTATTTATTTATTTATTTACTTACTTACTTATTTAGGTTACCGGGGAATGAACTCAGGGGCATTCAATCATTGAGCTACATTTCCAGCCCTATTTTGTATTTTATTTAGAGACAGGATCTCACTGAGTTGCTTAGTGCTTCGCTGTTGCTGAGGTTGGCTTTAAACTTGAGATCCTCCTGCCTCAGCCACCTGAGCACTGGGATTATAGGCATGCATTACTGTGCCCAGCATGATTATATTTTAAATGGATAAGTTTCCATAATGATGGATTATAAATAGCCTCAATAGACAATGTTCTGCTATCTAATTACTATCAGAAAGAATGGTTTAAGATTCTGCAAAGCACTATTTTTGGTAGCTGTCCCCAATATGTATCTCCTAGCAAAAATAATTTTAAAATAAAGGATATGTACAATGCTCTTTAAATTTATGCCTGAATATTCTATTGTTTTCATGAGTGGGACTTTTTATTAATTGAAGTTAAAAGTTTGTTTTACCCCCACAGGTAGTATGGTTTTGATATTTGAGTATTTATTAAACAGTTGGCACATCATTTAAATTTTATTCATTTGAATAATTTTTAAAATTTACATATTTAGGTTTTGAAGGTACTCAAACACTTAAGATTAGCAAATACTATTTTTCTATATTGCATTGCAGTAATTATTTCTCTTATTATTTGTTTCTTGTAATATGATGGAACAGAACTTTTAAAGCAATGTTGGTAGTATTGGTAATGATGGAATTTTTTTGCTTCAGTTCAGATTAGTAAAAGAGTATTTCTAGTGTCTCTCCTTTACCAACCATGTTGTTTTGTGAGAAATACTTTTATTGCATCTTTTTTATATCTTTATTAGTACAAATCATTTTTATTGAATTTTAACATCTCTTTACAAAATGCAGACATCACTGCTGAAATGGGATCATGTCATACATCCCTTTTTGCATTTGTGTGGGTGAGGTTTTCATTTGTTTTCTTTTTTTACGTGTCTCTGCCTTCCCTCCCTACCACATCAGTCATTCCACCAGGGGAGCCCGGGCTTATAACGGTGTAGGAATTCTTTCATACTTTTCTGTATGTGCAAACAATCATATAGAGACATGTATAAACACATATAGGGACTTTTTTAGATCAATATCAGATCATGCTATGCAAACCTGTCTGCATCTTGCTGTTTTTACTCAACAAAACCTCAGAGAAAATCCCTCCTACACTAACTGAAATTGCTCTGAATATTTCTTTTTAATGTGGATTCCATGGTGAGGATGAGGATATACTATTTTCTAGTTGCTTTATGCAAAGAAACAAAGCTTCTTGTGAACAGAGGTTTTGCATTATATGAAGTGTTTTCTGTACCTACAAAGGTACTAGAATGTCCTCCTGGTATATCATGAGCAGTTAGCAAATACTCTGAATTGAGCTCATAGATGGAAGCAGGGTCCACCTCAGACTGCCATCTCGGTAGGTCATGGAATTTGTATTATTTAAACAAAGAGCTGAGACTTTCAGGTAAGTCACTAATGGCCATAAGGGCAGAAAATATCTTGCAATAATGTGATCAAGAGATGGAATCATGGGCTGCGGATATAGCTCTGGTGGTAGAGTGCTTGCCTCACACGCACAAAACCCTGAGTTCAATCCCCAGCAGCACATACACACACACAAAAAACCAAACCGAAACAAACAAAAACAACAAAGAGAGAAAGAGATATGGAACCAGATGCCTTTTCAACCTTATTAAAAGAATCAGTCCAGAGCTGGGGTGCAGTTCATAGTGTGGTGCTCCCCTGGCATGTGTGAGGCTCTGGGTTTAATCCCCAACACCAGGGATTAGTTTCCATAATGATGAAAGTTTCCATGCTGGTTTAAAAAAAAAAAAAACATTTACTCAAATTACTACATTCTTCTTTCCTTCACCTGGAGAGTAGTGGTGAGCTGGTGAGGGGAAGTGCTTTGTGGGAAGACGATGAGCATCAGGAAAGAAAGCTCTGGTGGTTGTTTGGGTGCTAATTATTTTTTTGAAACATCCCAGGCTAGATATAAATGGTTAGTTTATACCAGGGAACCACAGATAGGTAGCAAATTACATAAACAGCACTGACCGACTACTTCTTCCCACTACACTGGACTGAAGTGTAGTGTTGCCCTTAACGTTTTTTTTAATGACAAAAGAAAAAATTCTTGCAAACTCTTAACCACTTATCAGAGGCCTAAGTATATTCCAGGATCATGGTTTTTTTTCTACCATTCTCTGTTAGCACCAAAGTTAGCTGTTTTTCAGATTAATAAGAGAAATAAAATTTGACTATACCTACATGAGAATACCAAAGAATGCGTGTGTGTGTGTGTGTGTGTGTGTGTGTGTGTGTGTGTGCGCACCCATGCGTTTTGATTCCATGGAATGAACCTAGGGGCACTTTACTACTAAGCTACATCCCCAGTTCTTTTTATTTTTTTATTTTTGAGACAGGGTCAAGTTGCTTAGGATCTTGCTAAATTGCTTGAGGCTGGTTTTGAACTTGCAATCCTCCTGCCTCAGCCTCCCAAGTTGCTGGGATTACAGGCGTGCACCACTACATCCAGTCACCTAAGCATCTTTTATACTGAATTTATTTATCTTTGACTCAGGGCAGGGAGAGCTCATAGGAAGGCCCTGGCCTGAGACAACAGAAAGTGACAACAACCAAATAACTTTAAATCCATGATTTCTGATCAGTTATGACTTGAAAGCTTGATTCTTTTATTATTTATCACTCATTAAATGTTCTGGCTCCCCTTGATTAAATGTTAAATCATCTTAAGTGGTATGGTTCTTGCTATTTGAAATGGCAAAGTGTAAGGGAAAAGGGAAAGTGGCCCATTTCCTTGTTAATGTGACATTCAAATAAAACACATCGGTGCAACAGACAGGTCAACTGGCTGCTGATGGGGACTCTGTACAATTATTCATAACACAAGAGCCATAATTAGGGAGAAAATGTCTCCTTGCAGCACCACTGAGATTGCCGGGGAGGAATTCCATTCTCCCACAGGGCAGGGCTGGTATGTGCATCAGAAAATGCTTGATTATGCTCATGGCTTTTTTTCTTGCATCCCATGATGGGAGCCCTGGCTTTCCAAGGGACCTCGCTTACAAGGGTCCCTGCCCACATTGGTTCTCTTTCCATCTCTATGACATTGCTTGAGGCCATGTTGATAGGAGAGTTGCTAGGAGAAGCCTGGACACATTAGGATGAGGAACCGCAGAGCAAAGCTAAATTCTACAGTGCAGCCGCATGTAAGGAATCTTGTGGACCATAAGTCTGAACTTAATTTCTCTATGCTATAAAATTGAGATGTAATTCTACTACATTGAAAATCCATCTTTATGCAGGGCTTGGTGGTGCACACCTGTGACCCCAGAGACTGGAAGGCTGAGTCAGGAGGATCTCAAGTTCAAGGTTAGCCTGGGCAATGTAATGAGACTCTGTCTTAAAATAAAAAAAGAAAAGACAGGTGGTGCATGCCTATAATCCCAGTGACTCTGGAGGCTGAGGCAGGAGGATTGCAAGTTCAAAGCCAGCCTCAACAATTCAGTGAGCACTTAGCAATTCAACAAGAACTGCCCAGTGGTTAAGTGCCCCTAGGTTCAATTCCCTATATCTCTTCCCCTCATCTCCCAATAAAGAAGTCTATCTTTTCTTTACGTTCAGTTATAGAAGGTCATCTTTATGTAGCTCCTCAAGATGACACACTCCACGTGAGCGGGACCAGGAAGTGACCTGGTTATTTCTATACTCCTAGCACCTTGCAGAGTCGTGGCATCTGGCAGACACTCAGAATTCATAGATAAACTGAATGGACTCATATTTCATTAATAGATATTTTAAGCTCAGAAGGAAGTTAGCATCTCTTATGCAAAATGAGGCAATACTATAGAAGTAAACAAATTAAAATCTTTCCTCTTACCTTATCTCTGCTGCTTCGAATTATCTGAATTTTAGGACATTTTTTAGCTCCATAGGAAACATCCAGCCAGTTTTCTGACTGCCCTGAATTGACACAATCTTCTTGAAAAGTACACCTAAAACAAACAAAAAAGACACATCAAGACAGCACCCCCATACATGCATTAGTTACAACTTTCTCATACTTGGCTTCAGTACAAAATGCTTTGTACAGTGGATTATTGATTTAAGCTAGAATAGGAACATGATGCTAAAATCATGAAAAGCAACAAGAAAACAGCGTTTTTTTTTTCCCCTCCCATCATGTCTAGGAGTAGAGAACAAATGTCGACAACACGTTGAACTTAGACTCCTGAGCCATCTCTCAAGTTGACATTGCCAAATACATCCAAAGCACATCCATTCTCAGATTCTGAAATAAAGAGTTCCTTTTTAGAAATACCTATCAAAGAGAAGCCCGAGAAAGGGTTTGCACATTGTATAAATTTTAGCTTTGCAGTTCATTCCCAGAATGTCTCCCTATTCAACTTATTGGGCAATTTGTGCTGTGTTTAGGGAAAAAAAAAAAAACAATAAAGCTACTATTTTGTGCTTTGTAGGATGATAATTAAATAAGAATATTTCAAGGGCAGAGTCTGCCCAAGAATTTGATAAGACATTGCACAACCATCTGCTACATAACATTTGTTTAGACGGATGGATACCAAGTTATCTTAAAAGATATGGGTGAAACATTTTTCAGGGCCACTTGTCCAGGTCAGCCTCAGACGATGACCCAAAGAAGTCTCAAGTGAGGCCACGGCCAACTACTTTGATACACAGATGCTCAGAAGCTGAGAAGGGAGATCACTCGCTTGCCTGGTGTGTAGGTCACTGTAGGTCACACTAGCTTGGGGAAAATCTCTATCTCACCAGATGGGCCACCAACCCAACAATGAGAATGAACAGCGAGTGCCATCTAGTCTTCAAGTGGCAGAGATATTCCACTGAAAAGTATCAAAGAAACAATAACACATTTCTGATGTGCAATCCACCTCAAGGTCAAAGGTTAAAATGAAGAGCTGGTGAACCAAGGACAGGGAGTTTTGTTCTTTTCTGAACCACTGAGCTACACCTTCAGCCTCTTTTCTTCTTACATTTTTTTGAGACAGAGTCTTACTAAGTTGCTTAGGGCCTCGCTAAATTGCTGAGGCTGGCCTTGAACTTGCAATCTTCCTGCCTCAGCTTCCCAAATTGCTGGCATTAAAGGTGTGGGCCACCAAACTCAGCTGGAAGTTTAAAAACAACAACAACAACAACAACAACTAACAACAACACATGAATGGTGAGGCTAAAAAGCAACCAGAGGAATGACTATATTCATTTCTGGGAAATTCTTGTGTGGATCTGAAGGGAACGAGGCTCAGATGGGCCAAAGAGTGTATCTGACTTCAAAACAATTTTATTTTCTTCTTCTTCGTCTTCTCTCTCTCTGATTCTTAAAAATTTAGGCTTCGTTGCTTCAGGTTTGAGCTCTGAGCTAATTTGAATAAAGCAAAAATAGAACAGGAAGTCGGTGAGTTTCACTAAACATCACACTTGAGCACAGTAGGTTAGAATGTCGTCTTCTGACATTTTGGGGGAACCCCACTCCCAGGAGCACATCTGTGTCCCAATTCCCCCTACCTCTGGGTCGGTTCCTACTCCAACATCAATTACCAAAAGGGATTTTCATTAGCAGTTCTCCAAAGCCATAAATTTATCTGACCCTTGATGGCTTGCTCGTCCGTCACGGACATTAAGTTCAAATTAAACCGTCTCTCAATGTCAGGGAGAGTTTGCAGCACAGGCACGAGGTACTGCTGCATTGAAACAGAATGACGAGGCGGCTTCCTTATTTGTGTCTAAAAGAGATCATGACTATCAAAAAACTCCCTGCCTCTCATGGGCACTCTGGTTTGTAGATGGCTCTTCCTCTACCTCTAAGGAAGAAAAAATAACCACCAAAAAAAAAAAAAAAGACAAAAAAACCCCTAAAGCTAATTCTAGAGAGACTGGGAGTACAAATATTTTTTTTGTAGGCTCTTAATGCTGCCTGGGAGTCAAGGCCTAAGGCTGCCAAAAAAACAAGTGTAAAATATTTCATACAAATAGTGCTGCGATTTGCCAATTTGTAGGCAGGAAACTGTAGTGCCACTGAGTTATCACTCCGTTTTCTGAACTCCTATAGCAATTCTGGTCGGAACCACACGTTTTGGTATTTAATCATATGCTGCCTCGAATTACAACTTAACTATTTCATATGTCTATGTCATCTCTTCCAAAGTAGGGCACTCAGCTCCCCAAAGGAAGGGTGAAAACCTTTTCTATTTCCTCAGCAGATCCCTCAGGGTCTGGCAGCATGATATGCAAATACTAGAGTTTCAATAAATATTTTTGAATGAGTGGAGGAAATATGAAATCTCTATAGGTCCTTTCAATTGGTGATTCTTTTTTTATTTTTTATTTCTAGAGTTTTGATTTATATCTGACTCCCCTTTATGGTAAAAGGAGTAGGTTTAACATCAGCTAAAAGTTTGAATCTGAGAATCAGATTATTTCTAAATATTTTTTTAGTTGTCAATGGACCTTTATTAATTTATATATGGTGCTGAGAGTCAAACCTAGTGCCTTACCCATACTAGGCAAGCATCCTACCACTGAGCTACAACCCCAGCCCTGGTTTATTTTATTTTAATATTTATTTTCTAGTTAAAGTTGGACATGAAACCTTTATTTTATTTATTTATTTTTATGCATGTGCTAGGCAAGTGCTCTACCACTGAGCCACAACCCCAGCCCTATTTTTTAAAATATATATAAAAATAAAGGGGAAGGCTGGGATTGCAGTTCAATAGTAGAGCACTTGCCTTGCACGTGTGAGGTCGTGGGTTCGATCCTCAGCATCACGTAAAAATAAAAAGAATAAAGGTATTGTGTCCATCTACAACTGAAAAACAACCTATTAAAAAAAATAAAGGGAAAAGAATAGATAATGAACCTTTCATATCCAATTTTGTAAAACAAAATCTAACCATGCTAAGTACCTAAATATAAATTCCTTATTTACATAAAAAAAGGATGCCTCTGAGATTTCTAAATGCCCATTCCTTGCCTCTTACCAGTTTGAAAAAATTAAAAATTGAAAAGCAAAGCAAACCATGACACCAAGAACGTATAACCAGATGGTCAACCAACAACAGCATCTTATTACTCCTCAAACACTGCAGATTGTAAAGTCTTCTCGACAGCACGCTCCCCACACGTTCACATTTCTTGAGGAGGGAGAGCAGATCTTATAGCTCCCACGTTTTAGTAAACAAGCCCAAGTACTTTGAAATAATTCCTTTCGAAAGCTATCACTCTCAGTCCTGCATATCCACAAATGCAATGGTCAGGCACAGAAACTCTGAAGCCACTGCCCAAAGACAAATTCTCATTGTCAGACATGACTCTTAGTGAGGCTGAGCCCTCGGTGAGACACTCTCAGATGGGCTGATTTCTCCACTGGTTTCATTTCAATTTCTTTAGGCCCTGGATAGGACGGAAATTGGATTCAGAGTAGCATGGGTAGGTTTTGGGGAAAAAATGGTGGAGATATATTTGTTTTCTTTGCTTATGCTATTACTTTTGCCCTAGCCTCTTCTGAGGATCTGTCTTATTATGCTTTGTGTTGCTGTAACAGAATACCTGAGATGGTGTAATTTATAAAGAATAGAGATTTATTTCTTGCAGTTCTGGAGGCTGGGAAGTTCAAGGTCAAGACTCCTAGATCTGGTAATAGCCTTCTTGTTCTATCACCCCATGGCAGAATATGGGAGGGTGAGAGAGAGTGAGGGCAAGAGATGGAAATCATAGCCTCAAGTCCTTTACTTTTGTAAGTGACATTGATTCATTCATCAAGGTACCAACCCAATATTGTTGCACTGGGGTTTCACTTTCCACATGCTTTCGGGGGAGCACATTCAAACTAGAATGTTCTACGTCTAGCCTCCCCAGTCTACAACCTTCTCACTTGCAAAAGACATTCATTCCATGCCAATAACCCCTAATTCTTAACTCATTCCAGCACCAATTTAAAAGTCATAAGTCCAGAGTCTCATCTAAATCAAATATGGGTGAGACCCAAGGCATAATTCATCTTAAGGAAGACTCCTCTCCAGCCATGAGCCTGTGAAATTAAATAAGTTACATGCCTCTAAAAGATTCCAAAACAGCGATGAGACAGGCTTAAGACAGACATGACAACTAGGCTTTTTTGAATCTGCTCTTCCAAATATTTCCAGCCTCTACCCATGACCCAGTTCCAAAGCCACTCCCATATGTTCAGGCATTTGTTATGGGCAACAGCCCTCCAGGGGTGCTCCACCACTGAGCTGCACCCCCAGTCCTTTTGATTTTATATTATGAGTCATAGTCTTGCTAAATTGCTGAGGCTGGCCTCAAACTCATAATCCTCCTGCCTCAGCCTCCGGAGTACGTGGGATTGCAGGCATGTCCCACCACACCTGGCTGTCTTAGTTCATTCTGTGCTTTTACAACAGAATTACAGGTAACACTGGGTAATTTGTACAAAACAGAGATTTCTTTCTTATAGTTCTGGAGCTTGGGAAGTCCAAAGTTGAGGGGGGCTGCAGCTGGCAAGGTCCTTCTTACTGCATCATCCCATGGTGGAAGGTGGAAGGGCAAGAGAAGGAAGGATGAAGATCAAACTCCAGCCTCAGTCCCATCATGAGGGGGGAGTCCTCCTACCTAGTGCCTCCCATGAGGCCCCACCCCAACACAGTTGCACTGGAGTTTAAGTTTCCAACACACATTTTGCGGGATATATTTAAGTCATAGCAGGATCTCTCCAAAAGCCCTAGGATTCCACTGGATATTTTATTTTTCTAGTTCCTGTTTCTGGTTAGATCTCATGCCGACAGGATAAGAGTCAATAAGTAGACATGAGCCCATTTCCAAACTAAAAAAGAGAACCTGCCTAAATGCGAAGAAAAGAAGAAATAACAAACAAACAAAATTTAACTTAGAAACAAACAAAATTTAACTCAGAAACAAAAAAGCTTTCACCTGGTAAAAAATACTTCATGGGGAAATA